CGGTAACCACATGGTGGCTCACAACCATCTGTAAAGAGGTCTGGTTCCCTCTTCTGGCCTGCAGACATGCACACAGACAGAATATTGTATACATAACAAATAAATAAATAAATATTTTTAAAAAAATTAAACATAAAGTAAAATCCCCCCCTCTCAAAAGTAGTTTTTCATTTATTTCTGTTTGCTTGCATGCATGTGTGTATACCACATGCATGACTGGTACCCATGAAGGCCAGAAGAGGGCATCAGTCTGAAACTGGAGTTGTAGATGGTTGTGAGTCACTGTATGAGTGCTGGGGACCGAATACAGTCCCTCTAGAAGAACAGCAGGTACTGTTAACCCCTGAGCCATCTCTCTAGTCCCAAGGGAGATTCATTATTTCTGAGAGCTTCTGAATGGACGGACGTCCCTTAACGTCCCTACAGCAGAGCTGGCTCCCACCTGGGAAGACTGTTCCATCACAAGGAGAATCCCAAAGTTCCTTCCTATCCTTGTTTAGTCCTTAAGCCTAGGACACTTTACTCACGGGACCCTCAGGTATGAGGTGCTCCAAGACATCACAGGCTTCTTCCAGGTGTCTGACTGTGACCCTCTGGATGGTACAGAGAGCACTGCCTTGCCTGCTGCGTAGCTGTTGGCAGCTGTTGGGTTTGGGTGTTCCCTCATAATCCATCCTGTTGTGTTTGTGTGTTTAAAAGCCTGAGTGACAAGAGACCCTGGCACTAGATAGGCTGAGAACCTGGCTGGAATCAGGCGAGCCTTATTTCCTGACATTTGTTCCTTCTGTCAGCCTTTTCTGCCTCTGTCCCTTGGAAGCGTGCCTGGGCTGTGCCCTGAGGTGTGGGTACTATCTACAAAGCCAGGAACATACAGCAGGGCTCATGTGTGCTCCCATGGCTACTTGGTGGTTACTTAAAGATGGCTGACGTCTGGCATAGTGACCAGTTAAGAGTTAGACAGCACGTTGCTGTCACACCCAGCTATGACCCTGAGCTCACCTAGTGCTGCCAGCAGCATTTGAGATGGTATTCTCACCCACACAACAAAGACAGAAGCTGGATGTGGCTGGAAGAATGGCTGGGCAGGCAGGCCTTGGGGGTAGATTCTGAGGCAGATTCTTTTTTGTTTTGTTTTTGGGGGTCTCTCTGTTATAGCTCTGGCTGTCCAGGAACTTGCTATATAGACCAGGCTGGACTTAGACTTCCAGATATTTGTCTGCCTCTGCCTTCCTAGTGCTGGGATTAAAGATGTGTGTGTGCACCGTGCCCCCTGGCTCTGTTGTGCACCGTGCCCCCTGGCTCTGTTGTGCACTGTCCCCCTGGCTCTGTTGTGCACCGTGCCCCCTGGCTCTGTTGTGCACCGTGCCCCCTGGCTCTGTTGTGCACTGTCCCTCCCCGGCTCTGTTGTGCACTGTCCCCCCCGGCTCTGTTGTGCACCGTGCCCCCGGCTCTGTTGTGCACCGTGCCCCCGGCTCTGTTGTGCACCGTGCCCCCTGGCTCTGTTGTGCACTGTCCCCCCGGCTCTGTTGTGCACCGTGCCCTGGCTCTGTTGTGCACCGTGACCCCCAGCTCTGAGGCTGACTCTGACTAGTGAAGTTCCTTAAACATGGGGGCAGTTCCTGGGATGAAGAATGGCAATGAGCTTGTTCTTTCGGGACTAGGAATGGGTGGGGACTGCTAGGATTCTGCAGCCTGTGGGGTGAGCAAGTGCTGTGTGGAGGCTTCCCTGGGCCCCTAGTGGGTCTCAATTTCTGCTGTGGGTATTTAGTCACCATGATCTTAGCAGTGTGTGCAGGCCTCTTTTAGAATCCCAAGCTCACTCTCCACTGTCTCCAAAGCACTAGCCAAAGGCCCTCTGCCTTTGGCAAGTTGCCATGCCTTGTGAGGGTTTCTCCAGCTACCTACTGTCTTTGTTTACTGGGCATAGGCATCCACAGGAAACACTCCCTGTCTGGTTTAAGAGTCCCCAATCTGTGCTGTGTGGCTCCTGCTGGCCACAAATCCCTGAGGCTCTGCCTGGCTGTTCTCTGTACTGTCTGAGGCTAAAGGCAAGTGCTAGAGACAGCGGCCACATTGGCCACAGCTCATCTCTGGAATGCCAGGCTCTACTGTATCCTGTGGGCCCGTATTGTCCTGCCCCTGTTTCTGTCCTTGGTCAGCAAGTATTCTGAGGTAGATGTTTGGAGGTGGGAGTGAGGAATCCCACAGACCCCACAGTGTGGGGTGTGGAGGGCTGGGGCCGGGTGGGCACATGCAGCTGACTCTTCCTTGCTTTGGGCTCTATGGTATCTGCAGCCCTGACTGTCCCTGGCCTTCCCAGCACAGGTGCAGAGGCTCACACTCAGTGGCACCTGTTCTCAGTGTGTCTTTGCCCTTGGGATGTGGGGGAAACAAACCTCTACTGTCTGAAGCCCCAGAGAGGAAGTGGCCGCAGGGCACTGCTGTGGCCAGCCCAGCTAGCTCCTCCCTGATATAGTCTGATAATGGCCTTATGCTATTGAACCTTTGGAGGCAGGGTTGCCTCTTGTAGACCTGTCCTGGCCTTAGCACGTGGACCCAGAGCCCACCTTGTAGCACGATTAATAAAAACCCCGAGACAAATATTGGGATTCAGCCTTAAAGTCAGAAAAGCAAAACAGCCAGCCACTGACTCTTACCTCTACCTTTGCCAGGGTTTGCTGTCTTCCTATAATTTGTTAATTTCATCATTGGTGAATGATACTGCAATCTCTGCTGGGTATACCTGGCTTGTAGGTACTGTGGGCTGTTTTTGAGGCCCCTAGAAAGGTAACTGACTGGTTCCAACTGGCCCTCCAGAGGGAAGCACTATGGTCTGTCCCAGGCCATGTCTCAGAGGCGTCTGCAGGGTCCTCTGGTCTCACAGGTGCCCTTCAGCTTCACCCTCACTTTTGCAGCTTGGTGTAAAGGGGAAATTCCTGTCGTCGTCGTCTAGTTTTAAGACTTCATTGTTCTGTAAGAGTTCTTTGGACTTTTTATGAAATATCTCAGAACTGTTCAAGGTACCTGCAGATTCCTCTGTTAGCTCCAGGGGCTTCCCCATCTCATGTGAAACAACTGGGCTGCTTAGGAGACTTTGACCTTAATACACCAGTCTGGCACCCTCTCCCCCGCCTTCTGCACAGGAAGCAGCCTTGCCCAGTGGTCCTGTTCTCCAGCCTTTTCTGCTGGGCCACAGTCTGGCTTATGAGGCTGCCTGGGAGGTGTGTCATACTCCCTGCCCCCTAGGTCTCTGGAGTTTTTAAGTCGGCACCAGACTAGACTTGTGGCTTTTTCTGTGAGAGAACAGAGCTCACTTTCTGCACCTGCTCCAGCCAGCGTCTGCTTAGACAGGAAGCCCCACCCTGGTGTGCAACACCACCACCCCTTCTGCCTTCACTGTGGGAGGGATCCTTGCAATTCCGGAAGTGGGTTCTTCTGCCCCAGCCAGCATCCTGGGTATCTACTTCTGCAGGGGGCACACTTGGCCTCTGCTGAATGACACTATGACCTTGTGACTCATCTCCTCTGGAAAGCTGCAGCACAACTGAGCCGGTTTGGTGTCGTTTTTTCTTGGCTGTTTGTCTGTCTTTGAAGAACATGCACCCGGCTGTACCCTAGGACCAGCACCGCCTCATCCCTTACACCAGCACAATCCCTCAAGAGAGTGGCTCCCTATCCCAGGCCCCTGAACACAGGGGTCCTTCCAGATACCTCCTTATTCTTGGAAGGGCAGCAGGCCTCCCAGGCACCTAGGATGGGGACCCAGCCCAAGCACGACACGTTACCTGGGCCTTGGTGAAGGCTTCCATGAGGACTGATCCACCCCTCCTATCTAAATTTCATGGTGGGAAACCTATCACAGAAGCACCTTGACTGCTTGCTTCTGTGCCCCTTCCAGGCAGCAAGGTTTCAGCCTTACTTCTGCTGGGCCAGTTGTATGGTGGGGTGTTTCCCCCAAGGATTCTGGAGAAGAACCCTGTTCTTTGGTATACTTGAGGCCCCCTGCTAGAGGTCACAGACCTCACTTTGGCTTTACCTCTCCCCCTCCCCCAAGCCCAGGTAACTTCTAGGCAGCGTGCCTGGTACCGCAGTGTAAGCCCTGGTATATCTGCTGGTTCTACTGCCCTAAGGTCCCTATCATCTTCTTAGGCCCTAATTGGGGGACAGTAGCTTAAGTTCTGTAGGCGGCTCTGCTCTGGGAGAGGCCCATGCTGTAATTAATTATCTTGCATAGAATGTCCCCCAGGTGGGGGGTGTAACATTTGGGTGGACGGTCACACACTTTCCCACACAGATTGGCTCAGGTGTGTTCCACTTAGTGCTGGATGTCAGAACGAACCACAACTGGTTCCTGAGATAAGCTAGGGCACTGAGTAACTTCTGCAAGAGTCTGACCGCAAAGGCAGTGTGGAGGCACCTGTGATGTGTGCCGTGGTCTTTCCTCTGGGGAGAGGGGTATCTCTAATGCTCCCTAATGAAACACTGACCAAGGCCACCCAGAGGGCAGCCCTCCCAGGCTGCTTCTGAGCTTGAGCATAGCTGCTTATTGGCTCACATTTGAGCCTGTGGTCACTGCTGGGTCATTTAACCCATTCCTGGCATGGGCCATGGAGTGGAACTGATCCCTTCCAGCCTTTCCAGCAACATATATTATATCTGTGTTCTAAGGAAGTAGTGTAGTCTGAAGGCAAAGAGCCTAAGGGTCAGAGCACCGTGGAGGCCAGACTGGATCTTGGCAGCCCACACAGCCGGCTGCAGCTGTGTGTGAGGTCACCTCATAGCAGCCCACAGCAGCACAGTGTCCCCTCTATTCTCGTGGGACGCCCTTGCCCCTTCACAGAGGCGGCAGGCTTACCTTTCTGCTCAGGGCCAAGGGCGCACTGTGTTCATGGCTCCATACATTTTGGGTCCATGGGGAACTTGCTACCATGGAGTTGGTAGGAGGACTAGACCCTGCCTGAGCCCAAGGATCCCAACAGGGCCTTTTGTGTTGATCACAGGTTTCAGAGCCCCCAGCTTCCATAAGACCCAAAGCAGACGACACTTCCTCACAGTCCCCTGCGTCTTCTGAGAAGGACAAGCAGTCCACTTGGCTGCGGACCTTGGCTGGTTCCTCCAATAAGGTGCTATGTGGGAACCTGTCTGGGGTCTTTGGGGAGGGTGCCAGGCCCTTCTTGGAGCCAACTCTGGCTCATCCTGGTCTCAGGACTCCAGTGGCCTGTTTTCCTGTAGTCACTTACATAGGGACTCTCTTGACAGAGCCTTGGCTGTGCCCACCCTCGCCAGCGCCTTTCTGCTTTCCGGCCCTGGTCCCCTGCGGTGTCAGCGAGTGAGAAAGAGACCTCCCCACACCTCCCAGCCCTGATTCGAGACAGGTGAGTGAGGGGTGCACAGGAGGGCCAGACTATGGTTAGCAGACTGCAGTGGTGTTGGTGTCTTTAGTCCTAGGATGAACTCTCCAGAGCTTTGAAGTCTTGGGGGAAGTTCTGAGCTCACAGACCTGTCTGTTAAAAAAAGTTAGGTTTCCAGCAGGGCATGGTGATCCACACCTTCAGTCCCAGCACTCAGGAGGCAGAGGCAAGTGAATCTCTGAGTTTGAGGTCAGCCTGATATAGACAGCAAATTCTAAGCCAGCTAGGGTTTTATAGAGATAGATAAATCAGTAAATAATAGCTTCTCATGGGCATGAAGGCCCAGTTGTGTGCCGGCCTACCCCAGCCTCTGGGGGAGATTTGTGTTCTCATTGGAACCTTGACCTTGTGATTTAGATTGGCTGAGTGAGCAGGGCTCATCCCACAGCTCATAGGGACCTGTGAGGCAGACGTACCCCGGCTAAGCATCTACGCCTCTTACAGCTTTTACTCCTACAAGAGCTTTGAGACAGCTGTGGCCCCCAATGTGGCCCTAGCACCACCAACCCAGCAAAAGGTTGTGAACAGTCCGCCATGCACCACCGTGGCCTCCCGGGCACCAGAACCTCTTACCACTTGTATCCAGCCCCGGAAGCGGAAGCTGACCATGGAAACACCAGGAGCCCCAGATGTGCTGACATCTGTGGCTGTCCCAGAGGAAGACAAGGATTCTGAGGCTGAGGTGGAAGTTGAAAGCAGAGAGGAATGTAAGTATGGATTGGAACCTGCTCCTTTGGGCATTAGTACAGGGGATGGGGGAGGGTGGGACACATGGTATGACTGGGGTGCCTAATGCTGTGTCTTTTCTGTCTGTCCTCAGTCACCTCCTCCTTGTCCTCGCTGTCCTCTCCGTCCTTTACCTCGTCCAGCTCTGCCAAGGACCTCAGCTCCCCGGGCATGCTTGCTCCACCTGTGGTTGCCCCTGATGCTACCACCCATGCCGACGCCCCAAGTGGGCTGGAGGCAGAGTTGGAGCATCTGCGGCAAGCCCTGGAGGGCGGCCTGGATACCAAGGAAGCCAAAGAGAAGTTCCTCCATGAGGTGGTCAGGATGCGGGTGAAGCAGGAGGAGAAGCTGACGGCAGCCCTGCAGGCTAAGCGCAGCCTGCACCAGGTGAGGAGGGCCGCAGGCGGGCACTGTGATGTGCAGAGTTCTTCTGTGCTTCCAGGAAGGCTCCCACAGTGCTCTCAGCTGCAGCTTTCCCTGTGTGGGGGTCTCCCTGAAAGAACTGGCATGTTAGTTGGTAAAAGCCATTGTTGATGGTTGAGGGAAGAGCGGCTGTACTAGTGATGCCTCTCTCTCTCTGTCAGGAGTTGGTGCGTTCTCCAGCAAGACGTGGGCTTTGCATATAGCGTGCAGGGATGTCTCCAAAAGGGACTTAGCCGCAGGCCTCTGGAAGTGCATGCTGGGAAGGTGCACGTGCGCTTGCAGTTACTGCTGGCTGGGCCCCCGCTCCTCCAGCTGCAGCCGCTGCAGCCATTCCTCTCCTCCTTTCTATGCACGAATAAGGGGGGCCCAGTTCTCAGGCAGCTTGGGGAGTAAAGAACTTAGCCGTTGGTCTTCGCCAGGGCTCAGCATAAGGTTTTGCTGCAGGCTCAACCTCTGCTGAATTCACACCCCAGCCTGAGTCTGGCAGCTCTGGGGGCAGCCTCACATGCGTGGGCTTTAGCACAACACAACCCTGTCAATCCTCAGGGCTGCAAGATTTCAGATGTTCTGCTCAGAGTGAGTCTTAGTCATTGCCTCCTCCTCTCTGCCCCATTCTGGGTGGAGGTGTGATTTCCCACATGATTATTCATGGGGGACGGTGTCATGCTGCCTTCTAACAAGGGGGACGGGCATGGGAAGTACCAGAAGTAAGTGGCTCCATCTGGCTGGGGGCAACTTGAGGCCTCGGGTGCACAGTGTCTGAGACTGTCTCCCTGGTGGTTTCCTCCCCTACCCGTGAGGCATGGCATGTGCATTTGGGAGGAGGAGGTGTGAGAAGGTTCTGCGGCAGCCTTGATATAAGCAACCAACAGCTCGTAACAAACTCTCTGCTGGGCTCTGGGGGAAGGACACTAGCAGTCAGGTTAGGAGACTGTGGGTGCAGGGTGGGTACAGAGGTGCTGACTGGCAATTCTTAAATCTGTCTGCCGCGTGTCCTCCCAGGAACTAGAATTCTTGCGTGTGGCCAAGAAGGAGAAACTGCGGGAAGCCACAGAGGCCAAGCGCAGTTTGAGGAAAGAGATCGAGCGGCTCAGAGCTGAAAACGAGAAGAAGATGAAAGAGGCCAATGAGTCTCGGGTGCGCCTGAAGCGAGAGCTGGAGCAGGCACGGCAGGTCCGGGTGTGTGACAAGGGCTGTGAGGCCGGCCGCCTGCGTGCCAAGTACTCAGCCCAGGTACTAGGGTGGGTTGGCTGGTAGACTAGCGCATACAGTGGACAGCTGCTGTCACAGATCCAGCATGCTAGACTGCCCGTCTCAGGCTGATCTGTGAGGTGATGAGGAGCTGTGCCTGGAGGTCCCGAGGTGCATCCATAGCCACAGGTGGAAGTCCAGGTGTTCCAGCTCCGTACCGGGACCACTGTGGCCCCAGAACATAGGCTTCCCTTCCTGCTGCTGGCTTGGGCAGCAAGCTCTAAGCTAGGATGAGGAGATAGACCTTGGTAACAGCCCAGAGTTTAAGGCTCCATCCCAGGGAGGCAGGGAAAGTCTTCTACATCTGTAGTACTCTTTGGTTCCATCTTGGGTACTTCAGAAGTACAGGATGGAAGTGGAGTCAGCCTCTGCTCTGGGTGGACATCTGGGCCCTCCTGGGAGCCATTCAGGTAGAATGGGGACAGACATGGCACTACAGCTAACTAGGAACTCTAAAGGGAGGTGGGGGCTTGGGTGGGAGTGCTGGTGTCGGGCATTACTGACCACGCAGCGTCCCTTTCAGATTGAGGACTTGCAAGCTAAGCTGCAGCATGCAGAGGCGGACCGAGAGCAGCTTCGAGCTGACCTGCTGAGGGAACGTGAGGCCCGTGAGCACCTGGAGAAGGTGGTGAAGGAGCTTCAGGAGCAGCTGTGGCCTCGGCCACGGCCTGAGAATGTGGGTGGTGAAGGCAATGCCGAGCTGGATCCCTAGCCTGGGCAGTGCCTGCCACTGCCGCGTGGACCTCCATCTGTGCGCAGAGGGCGGCGGGTATGTGCTCTGCAGGCCCAGCCCCTGCCTCTGCAGCCACACAGCACAACGTCTCTACTGTGCCTATTACCAAGCGAGTGTTTGTAACCACATACTTTTGGAATCCACTGCAAAATTTTCTACTGGCCAAGTTCAAGTGAGCAAGCCATGTCCCCCAGCTGCAGCCAGAGTTGAGACTGGCTCTGTGGATTGCAGCTGGTCCTCTGCTTGCTGGAACATGCTAACATTTACACTTTGTTATAAGCTATTTAAACCAGTAAGGAGACTTGATACTCAGAAAATCAACATGTTTTTTAATGACTAACTGTAAAAGGCCCCTACACGTGACGCCATCTGGACACCCACTCTGGTGGGGGTGGCACCCACCCACCACCGTCCTGGGAAGCCATCACCGCTCATCTGTGCCCGCGGCTGCAAGAGGACAGCAAGGGTTTTCTTCAGAGTCTATTTTTTCAGCAACAAGGACCCCAGTCTTCCTGCTGCTGCCAGGAAGAGCAGGGAGAGCGCCGCGTGCGAGATGAGCCCCAACACTGCCCGCCTTACCGCCACTGCCCCGCCCACCAACATCACCACTAACCCTGCCCTGCAGGCACGGGGGCCTGAGCCACAGTCTGTTGAGGCCTCTGGATGCCCCCGCCCACCTACACCATGAGGGGCTAACCTGTGTTAGGCAGTGGCCATGGTCCAGTGTCATGTTGTGTTGTTCCCCATACACACCACCACCCACCCACAACCCACACGCTGCTTGACCACAGCAACCCCTCTTCAATGCGGCAGACATCACTCCTCATCTTGGGACTGAGGCTGCAGCATTGGAACAAAAACAGCATTATATCACTCCCCCCCCTTTTTGTTGTTCATTTAAACATGTATCTAGAACTGCACTTTGTCAGACCCCCCCTTCTCTTTTTACTCCCAGTTAACTGAGGTTTTTACCGATTTCTAGAGCAGTTCAAACCCTAAGTGCTCGAGTGCTTAGAAATCCCCTCTGGTGCTTGGTTGAACAAGGGAATCACAAGAAATGGAAATGCAGAGACTGAACTTGGGGGTCGTTCTGTGCCTTCCAGCATCTTGTACAGCAAACCCTGACTTGTCTTTTTACCCCCAAAATATCGTCTTCAGTAGCGATTGAATCTGCCACTGTCAAAATACGTTACTTGCATTTATTCCAAATAATCTCGTTTACTCTTAACTGTTTATGCAAATTGTATAAGGTTTCTTCTGCCCAAGCTTGAAAAATGATTCCCCAGTAGACAAGAGGCCACCACCCATCCTCCAATTGTGTTTATTTCCATGAGAAGATCACACAGAAGCCCTCCGCTCCAGTCCTGACAGGGCAGCCATGACCTGAGGGAAGGTGGAGGTGGCTTGCGCAGGTACAAGTGACCTCAAGGACTGTTGCCTGCATCTGGAGACTGCTAAGCCCTGACCTTTGGTGCCGAGGTCGTCTGCAGGGTTTTGCCCTTGGTTTACTGAGGGGGTCTGGGCTGCTGCCGGGTCCCCCCTTCTGAAGTGCAATGCAAAAGGGACATCATGTATACACAGCGTTTATTTGGATTTTTTCTTTGGCTTTTTTTTCCTCTCAGTTATGAAACTTGTATGCATGGATTTCACATCTCCATAGCTAGACCCATCCATGGGCATTATGACCTTGTCTCCTAAAGGGTCAGTTTTGTTACGCAACACGAAGAATGCTGTTTTCAGCCTTGTTTTTCTAGAGTTGTGCTTTTCAGTCATTTCTTCAAGGAAAACTAAATGATTTAGTTGGAGCAAAGCTTTAAGTGTGTTGGTGTGCTTCTGTGTGGCTGTCCCTGTTGTAGGAGGTCACAGTGATTTGGGCCCCTTTGAGCCTTTGGTTCCAGGGGCACTTGCATTTCCCAGCAGAGCCTCTCCTTGCCACAGCTCTGTCACCATCAGGTTCCTGGCCTCCCTGGTCCAGCACTGGCCCCGTTATGGGAAGGAAGTGCGCTGTCTGCAGCAGAGACTCTCCTCACATGCCAGAGTGACTCCGGTTTGGGAAGGGCTTGTCATCTCAAGAGCTGTTCCTCCTGGGTCCCTCCTCCCCCTGCTTCTGGTGAGGCTCTTGGAGGCTGATGTGGGCCCTGTGAGACCTAGAGACTGGGTCATCCGGCTGCTTCTGTCCTGGGTGAAGCTGGCGAAGCACTGGGTACTTTTTGCTGCTGCCATGGAAGGCAGCCCTGCTCTCTGCAGGACCTGCTGTGGACTGGGCGACCAGGCACTGCACGCCTGGCTCCCTACTAGGAAGGCTGCAAATTTCTTTTCAGAGAAAGGGAGGAGAGGTTTCCATCATCTTGGCTGTCGACTCTCCCTGTGTGTTAAACCCTTTATCAGTTTACTCATCATTTCCATCCTGAAAGATTTTTAACGAAGGGAAAAACCAACAGCAATAACTCACTGGTGAGCAGCTAACTCCTACCCACGACACCCTGCTTTTCATACAGAACTAGCCAATGTTAAACAACTCACATGTAAATACTTTCCCATTTCACACCGCTGTATTATACGTGTAAACTTTTCTTACCTGCTGGTTGTCTTGCTTTCTGGGTTGTTTTTAACTAAGGACAAAGTGCTCATCTGCCAGAGGGGACAGAGCGTCTTGTGGCATTTCCCATGTGGTGTCCTCCGTGGCACTCATTACCCCCAATTGCTATGCAGAGTATCCTCTGTGGTCCCTCCCCACGGGCCCACCCTGGGGCTGGGGAGGGGGCTCTTGCGTTAAAGTCAGGATTCTCAAATGACATTTTCATCAATTAAAGAAAAATAAACCCACCTCTCCCTTCATAACTGCCCAAGCCCTTGCACCCTCTAGTCCTGCGCTGCTGCTAATGACAATATGATGGCTTACTCTGCTACTCGAGAACTATTTTTATGTAATTAATGTATGCTTTCTTGTTTATAAATGCCTGATTTTCAAAAGGAAAAAAGAAAAAGCTTGGCATATTTATCTATTTCTCTGTGTACCTGTTAGTCCTTTTGCCCCCTCCCCCCCCAAACAGATGACATTGTACAATAAAGGACTTTGAGAGTACTGTGGGCGCTGGCAGCCCCCATAGGAAATGGGGGAGGGCATCTCTACAGGTTAGACCTGGGGCTGTGGTCAATGCTTCCAGGAACTCTGGACTGAGAACCTTGACCAGGTTTGGCCAGGACTCACAGTGGGCAGTGCTGGGCAGATGGACCGGACATGACCCTTCCTAGCAGGGCTTCCACAAAGATACACTGGCTCAAAACTCCCTGGAGCCAAATAAGAGTACAGCTCCCCAGGGGCATTACCCACACCTGTACTGTGGGGAACGCTTGGCCGTCCCTGCCTCTTGTTCATAGAGCCAGAATCTTGCCCCAAGGTCTGCAGCCTTCATCACAGGAGCCTGTCCCTGTGCCTCCATGGTGGGGGGAGGGGTCCCCTCCATCTGACTTGGCCTCCTGTCCTGCTTCAGGTTCTCCTGGGAACTGCAGAAGCGTGCTTAGCTTGGAAAAGGCCACCATCCTAGCTGGACTTCTTATCCACCAGACCCAGGGGTTCAGAAGAATACAGTTGGACCCTGGTGTGGTGGCTCACATCTAATTCCAGCACTGGAGAGACCAATGGAGTTGAATTACCAGAGGTTCAAGACCAGACAGGTCTACATACTTCCAGAACAGCCCGGTCTGTCTGCCTTTTGAACTTTGTCTCGCAGGGCGGGGAGGGGGGGCAGTTAGCTCATCTGTCACTGAGGCCCTGGCAGCTTAGGCATGTACTGGAGGGAGGGCCCACTCAGCCTGGGGTCTGACTTGTGTTCTTACCAGTGACTATGGATGGCTGTTTGGAGCCATCTTTATAGCCGGTGGCAGCCTGAGAGAAGGAATACGGCCAGAGGGAGGCCTGGTTGTGAACAACCTTGGCACCAGGAGGCAGGGGAAAGGCTTTCTCCAAGGCTCCAAACCCGGTCTCCTGCCTCCAGGGTTGCCCTAGACTTCATCTCTAGGTATGAACTTAAGAGGATTATAGGTACTCATGGCCCAGAATCCAAAAGGAACCAGGACCCCTGGAAGTGTTCAGAAAGGGGAGGCCCGGGTGGAAAACCACCATCCCAGGTTTGGCTGAGGTCTCCTTTATCAGCCAAGGCCTCTGTGGACATGGGTGCCCCTTCAGACTCAGCTGCAGCTCTTGATCGCCCTTCTTGGCTGGTACCTGTTTCCAACTTTCCCAAGACCAGGGGAACCCCTGAGTAGAACTGGCAACTCCCAGGTGGCCCTAGTTCCTATCTGTGTTCTGTGCCTTGCTCACCCTCATTTCAATTGTACCTCTTTGTCTCCTGACTCCTACCTGTCGCCCTAGAATTCAGGAGGCCAGCCCCAGGCCAAGCCATCATGCTGTTATCTGGAAAGACCGATCCCAGGCTTCTTCATGGAAAACCTAAGCCAATGGCCTGTTACCATGAAAGTCAGTCACCGTGCCCATTCCCACTGTGGTGAGAGCCTGTACCTTCTAGATGCCCTCCCTCGGGCCATCCAGCCTAGACTGTGGCCTAGGTCTGCCACCCCTATCTATCCCTGCCTGGTACCTTCTCTGAAGCCCCTCTGACCATTTTGGGGTAACAGACTTCTCCCTGGCCAGGATGAGGTAGAACCAGGCCCCACCATGGAGGCCTGAGTTGGAGGAGGACTCTGCCTGCTCGGCAAGAATTTTGGTTCTGTTTTTGGTGGCCTGGGTGTTGGAATCCTTGGAGTCCAGTCCATACAAGAAGTTCGCCAAAAGCAAAGGGTAGATTTGAGCATGGAAGCCCTCCCCACAGACACCCAACATGTGTTCAGAACTCACCCCACCCCAGCCAGGCGACCCTGGGGAGGGAGTGAGGATGGGGAGATTTGAGATCTGGATGCCTGTCCACCCCTACCACCCCATGTTCTTGGTTGGTGACGCATACAGCCATCTGCGATCATGCCTGTGCCAGGTTGGTAGGAGTCTTGGCGTCAGGGGCACTAAGCCCTGGGACAGGTGGCCCACTGCAGGTGGGCACAGGCAGGAGGACTTGGCTAGCCTCGCTTGTCTTCACAGCATCCTGTGCTGAGCCAGGTGTCCAGCCAGTCTGGGATGGGCCTTCCTCTCCCTGAGATGGACCTGGCAGCCCTCCCTGGTAGGAAGCTGAGCCCAGGCTTTGGTCCACATTGATTTTTATACATAGAGGCCTATTTGGGAAACCAGGGAAGCCGGGGGGAACTCAAGGTGGGGACCCTTTCTAAAGTCTCGAGCAAGGACCTACCTGAGGGTGCCCCCTCAGCCCTCCCTGTAGCTGTTTGGTGGCAGCTCTCAAATGTCAGGGGCCATGTGTTCAACTCCATAGCTAAAAAGGGAGCTGCCTTGCTTAGCCAGACCCAGGCCACTAGCCCAGCCTGACTTAGGCAAGCCAGGTTTCTCATCCATGGCTAGCTGACCGTCCCAAACACTCAAGTTTTACCCTCTTTCTTTTCTAGTCTCCAATTCTGACTCCCTCCTCATCTTGGCTCCTCCTGGGTGTGGACCCTGATCCAGCAGCAGCTGCTCCTCACAAGGGACCATTCCACACTGGTGGCACTCTGCCTGCCTGTTGAACTGGGAGGGAGCTAGTTGTCCCAGGCTTTTGAGAAACCAGAGGAAGTGGTGGCTGACCCTAGAACGGGGAAACAAGGGGTATCTTCACCCCAGTCCTGTCCCGTGCAGCTGCTACTGCCAAACTGAGACTGACCAGGAACACTGCTGTGGGGACATCCAAACCTACATAGCTTGTCTATGTTAGGATGCAGAGGTTTCTTGATCTTGGACACCTGTCTGTGCTCTGGTATGTGTATGTGTGTGCACTGTGTGCAGGGCAGTGGATTGGAGAAGGGACCAAGGATATCTGCAGATCCTGGGACAGTCTTTTGTGCCCACCCCCTACCCCTGGGGAGAGAACTGGAGCCAGATGGATTTGTCAGACAGGGCAATAGGGCCTCGAGCATCTGGGAAGGCCAGGCCACAAAATTCAGAGGGAGGTCTTGTGTGCTGTACCCGCCTCTGGCTTTGGGAACATGGGGTTTCTGCTTGAGCCATGGTTCATGGATCACTGCAGCAAGAACCTCCTCACCCTGCCGTCTTTATGGGATGGACATGTGGTCCGCATCGCGATTTCCTATTTCTATGGAATAATGGCTCCAATAGAAGGCTCTGGTGGGCTGGGCAGCGGTGATGCACACCTTTAATCTCAGCACTAGAGAAGCAGAGACAGGCGACTCTCGGAGTTCGAGGCCAGCCTAGTCTATAGAGCTAGTTCCAGGACAACCAGGGCTACACAGAGAAACCCTGTATGGGGTTGCGGGGAGCTCTGGTGGTTGTTGAGGAAGTTGCTCCCTCGATTACTGGAAGCACCATCGTCCTTCCCCATAGGGTTGGTTCCCCTGCGGTCCAATTTACCGAGGCCCCAATGGTAGCCCGGCTATAACTAATAGTGCTTGGTGTCCTGAGCTGGACAGACAAGGGGTCGTCTTCCACCCCGGCATCAAAGGACGGAAAGCCCTGTAGAGTTCACAACCTCTCCAGTGCGGTGTTCACCTACAAAACAGGTTTCTGGCTTCGTGCGGCCGCCTCCAACACCGCCCCCCCCCCCCCGGAGGGAACCATCGCGCCCTTCAACTTCCCACGTACCCCGCTCTCCTTGGGACACGCGGGGACGGCCGTGGGCTGTACGGCTCCCGCTGGCCCAGGATGAACGGGCCCGGGAGGCGCCTGCTGCGGGGAAGCGCGATCGCGCCGGACTTCCTGCTGTCCGACCGCGGTCTCAGACTGCGGGATCATTTCTGGACTGTCCCCAAGTCCCGGCAGCTCCCGAAGCCTGAGGCCAGCAGCCCGGGCAGGGCAGGCACCGCCCACCAGCCGCGCTGGCCTCCGCCCCGCCCCGCCTGCGCTTCCCTTCCCCCGCCCGCCTCGGATTCCGACGGGCTGGGCCTGGGGCTTCCGGCTGCAATGAGGGAACCCGGCCCTGCGGGACCAGTCCGGCGCCGCCCGGCGCGCAACCCGACTTCCTGCAGCGTCGAGCCCTAGGCACCCCCGACCAGAGTCCAGGCCGGCAGTCGGACGTTCATGATCGGCCTCGGGCAGAGAGGGTCGCGCCCTTTCCGGAAAGTTCCCTCCAACCGTGCCATGGAGTGTAGCCTATATGTTACCTAAGATGGGGTCTGGTCGCCTTTAGCGACTCGCTTCTGCCGTCCCGGGTCTCATCACTGCAGCCCCATTGAGGCTCCTTCCCAAAGCCTCCCGTCCAAGCCAGCAGGATCCCACTGCTGGCGCCCATAGAGGTTTTGTTGCCTCCTTGCCGTCGGAATCCTCCCAGCACATGAGCAGTGTATATAACACCCCACCCTGGGATCCTTGATGCCTTCCCACTCCTCAGAGGGAGCCTGTAGTGCTCTACCCAGCGTAGAGCCAGATCCCTGTCTCCAGCTCCGGGTCTCTCCTTTCAAAACCACTGCCCTGTACTGTCCGTTCCCCCACCCAGAAGCGGAGAGCACTTGCCGAAAGTGGTCTCCGAGGTCCCAGGCCGGGGGCGCAGGGCTTCTTCTGCCAGCACCTGCTTCCACAGAAACTGATCCTCTGCAGGTTCTCACAAAGAATTGTCTCGTGAAACTCTTGGAAGATCGAGTATGCCTCGAGTTGCTGAGGTCCCTCGGAGGTGGCCCTGGGTGTCTGGCCGGGAGTGGGGAACAACAGCTGACTTAAGGTGTGATTCTTAAAGTTTATCCTTGGAGGGCCTCTGGCTGCTGACAGCTGGGAACAGGACGCCCCGAACTGGTTCAACCCTACCCCTAATCCCACCTCCACCCAGCACAAAGACACCTATAGCCCAGGATCCCCCTTCCAGTAGGGGTGGTATGGCCGCTCCATGCTTGGGCCTCGCACTGGGTTTAGGAGCCTGGAGTGGGTCTGTCCACCCGTGTCCCCTAGCTTGCCATTGTACTAAGTCACTCCACCAGGGAGGATCTCTCAGACTCAGGCTGTCCTACTGGGGGTCCAGCGGCAAACCTGAGGCCTCCAGT